TGTTTGGTGGGATGGGGATTCGAACCCACGACCCTCAGACTGCGAGTTAAGTGCCCTAACCACCTGGCCATGCTGGGCCACCACCTGTACTTTTAAAGTGGTTAAATTGCATTTAAGAATGTATAATCTCTATGCTTTGATAAGTTTCTTTCATGTTCACAACATGAACAGGAATTGATGGCTTATTGTTCCCACTGTGGAAAAGTACAGCTTTCAGACTAACTTTAGATGAGTTGATAAAAAGTCTCCATTCTTGAGGATGGTGTTCAGTACCTAATTCTTCCAGCAGTGCAACAACATTTGTACAGAAAACAAAGTATCTTGCATGCTGTAGTGAGAAGCAAGACTTTGATGGCAAATTGTTTCTGGAGCTAATAAATTCCAATGCTATAAATGAGAGCCAAGAAGTTCCCCATGCTGCTTTGATAGAGACGAGTCATCAATCATATGATTTAGCTCTTCTTGTGTGATCAGATGAGGCAGTTTATGTCGAGGCACCACAGGAATAGAATTACTAGGTGAAGAGGATGAAGATGTCTCATGGTCTTCTTCAAAGGATAACTTTTCTGTTTCCCAATTCATTGGTGGATGCGGCATTGGAAGACCACCCCCATGAGGTACTGGTTTCATTACAGATGCAATATCTGGATACTTGATGTATTGTTTAGTTTTGCCTGAATATCAACAAACTTTAGTCATACAAAAATAACAGTCAGTTAGATAATCTCTGGGCTCACACCATATCACTGGAACTGCAAATGCCATACTTGCTCTCTTCTTATTCAGCCACTGTGTCGAGCCAAAGTGCAAACTGTACAACACATGTGGGGCCCAATTTCTTTCTTGGTCACCAATTTTACACCTAAAATAGTGATAGTAAGCTACCTTTATTTTGTGTGTGATGCTTTTACTTCATGAAACTAGAATATATTTTCCACAAAGGTAGCAGAAACTGTTTGGGTGATTTTTGCACTTTACTTGAACTGGAGATAGCCAGCATTTCAAATGATTTTCTAAAAAGATATAAATGAATTTATGTTTACAGAACTAAAGTTTAAAATATTTTAAAAACAAAGTTTTACAGAATTTATTATATCGTAGGTATGATGCGAGGAAGAATATCAGCTTTTGTTTGGACTGTACATGGAATGAGGCAAAGTGACCAACTGAGTGAGCAAAAGGCAAATGAGATAGAGGCATGTGACTATGCCCCTTTTATGCTCAGTCAAGACTTCTCAATTGTCCTAGCAAACGGAGCACATGAAGGTTTCAAGATTCCTGAGCTAAGCAGGTGAGCATGGCAATGAAGCAAAAGTGGTGCAATTTGCTTTAATCATATTGAGAACAAATAGCATAAATGAACAATATATTTAGAATTTTACAACAATACAACCTTACTATAATGGATGTAGCATGTATACATGTATCTATTTATGTATGTGACAGAAGTAATAAATACAATGTGGCACCATTTATTGAATGACACCACAAACAAAAATCCATAATACAATTTCCCACTTTGGGTATTCAAGATTCAGACAATTAGTAAAATAACTGTGGTATGTGCAACAACCATTTCTTTATAACAGAACACAATTTTAAAGAAAATCACTTGAGTTTTCTCCAGTAGCAAATTTTTTGTTGTCCAGTGTTATTCCCTCCTACGTAGAATTCCAAATACCACTGAAGTAATTCAGGTTTACTTTAAAGTTTATAATGCTATTCTATTAACTGATGTATTTATATATATCTTCCCTAATTTGCTTTCAATCTAAGCTGAACCTCATCTTTGACTGAAGTTCATTCTTGGCCTCAAGTGCTCAATATCACAAACAATTCCATGCTTCTACATACATAAAGTAAATAAAAAATGTTAACATTTTTTTATGGATTTTCTTCAACTTACTTCCAATTTATGCTGAATGTTTGCAGTTATAACTTTCAAATGTATTTCTTACAAAATTGCTCATAAAAGTTTCAAAGCTAACACTATTATCACTATATTACATTTCTATCATACAATTTTTAACATTTTCATTCTCATAACCTGCCACATAATAACCTATTTTTAAATTAACTGTTATCAAACAAAATTAAGTTTGTTGAAATTTTTCCAACAAATATTACACATTTTTTTTGCTTTCTTTATTTAGTTCTATAACGTAACATACACAAACCAAACAGGTATTGATTTAGTAATAAATTTTCAAACATTCAATTCAGAGAATAATATAAAGTTATTTTAAAGACAAACAAATCACTGAACTTACAGGAATAGTTACAAACACAACTTAATTTTCATGTACAATCTTTTACACATACATTAAAAAAAAGAACTCTATAGATATCATACAGAATACTTTCAGTACAGTTCATAAGAAAGGGTTTTATGAATAGTTTTTACAACATTACAAAAATTAAAAGTAATATATTCCAACTATTCCTTAATTCAATCTAATGAGCAATGGTTATTTCATTTTGTGATTATAACTGATAAAACAACTTAATCACAAAAACATATAATTGTTTTTTAAAATATGATTTTGGGTATATATTTTTTTGTGATAATTTCTCAATTTATACAGATGCATGTATGGAAAATTTGTAAATCAGTTTAGTTATTGGAATTCTGATAATTTTACTACATTTTTATATAACAGTAAATTTAAAAGATAGATTTAGGGTAAAATGAAGATCCAACTAATAACCTTTTTATCATTATTTAGTTATATTATTAGAAGGAAATAAAGGTCATAATGAAAGTTAAATGTGGTCTCACATGACAGAAGGTAAACTTTCAACTTTTTTTCAGGGTTAAAATTAAACAAATTTTACACTTCTTGCATACAACCACAACTTTCAAATATTAAAAAATGTTTGCAAGTACATCATGTTTTGATAGGGATAAAAATTTAAAGTGACTAGTCTAAGCAGTTGTACAAAAAAAAGAACTGGATTTTGGTATTTTGACACAAACGTGACCAATTTGTACATTTTTAAGCTTGGGTTCAAAAACTCATCTAATCTGCATTATATTACATGGTTCTATTTAACTTAAAATTTATAAAAAAATCTCTATAAAAAAATATATTCTATTTTCACAAATAATTGTCTAAAAATATGCATTAAGTGATATCTTAACGTATTTTTCAAATAAAAATATTCATCTACCTGAACCTTCGATATCCCTCCTGATGTATTCATCAGGATTATCTTCAAACAGTTCTTCATCTGAAGCTGTAGAAAGAAAATAACTATTTCAATACTGTTTCTCTGTTTACACTTACTTCTTCAAACCCCAACCCAAGTTCATTCTGAAACTACAGAAACAGGAAGAGTACTCCATTTTAATGAAAAACAAGAAATAGTTTTGGAAATAACTTATATGATGGCCAAATAATTATTTCTTTGTTTTCTAAATTTTACACAAAGGTACATGATGGTTACTTGCACTAGCCATCCCTAATTTAGTAGTGATAGACTAGAGGGAAGCCAACTCTTGGGCTACTCTTTTACAAATAAATAGTGGGCTGAAAGGCTGAGCATATTTGGTGACAGGGATTCGAACCCACAACCCTCAGATTTATAGTTGAGCACCTAAACCACCAGGCCATGCCTAATAAACTTAATACTCCAACACACCTCTACTGATATTAGAAATAATTGTGTACCATAAATACATTTTAATAAAATCTTACTTCGAAACTCCATGTTTGGTACAATGACATTTTCACATATAGAACTAAGGATAGTAGGATCTTCAAACAGCTCTTTATTCTGTGGGCGATCAGCTACAGCTGACAGAAAATGAATGGCATTGCTTACTAGCTGTGAGAAAAGAAAAGAAAAACAAAAATTAATCTTATCTATTACTCAAAATCATAGAATGTAATGAAGAGCACATGGAAAAACAGGTCTTAAATTAAAGGCAGATCAAGTAGCCATAAACACTATATTGTTAAATTCCTAGCTTTTCATCTATTTGTTTTGATTATACTTTCAGTAATCTATATTTATTTTTCTTGTGATCACTGATTATGCTTTTTTTTATAGTCACTAATATAAACTTGACAAACATGTACAATGTTTTTATCCTCTGCATGACATCACCCTTGAAAAATAAACATCAATTAGCTCTATGATCACTTTATGAATATCCAAGAACAACAACAACAACCACAAAAAAAAAGGTAACAGAAAGATGTGAGAGAATAAATTAATAGATTTTTGCTAAAATAATTAGGTAACTACAGCTCCTTATGTGATTATTAAGAATTAACTATTTGCATATCAACTAACTTTGGTCTGCACTGTTTGATTTCAGGTTATATTTTAATGGGCACTCATTAAACCTCTATAAATAAACTTCCTCTGATACTTAAATTTCAAGAAAAGTACAAAGAAATGATAAGTCAAAGTTTTCACAAGATTTTTGTGAAAAATGTGCGTAAAGCCTTTCATTAAATAATTTTTGCTCTCAGTGTCACTAATACTAACAAACCTAGAAAATATTACAATACTGTGTCACTTCATTGACCACATTTCAAAAACTTAGGAAATGTTATATTGTAGTGTTACACCACTGAACACATTGCTACTACTTGTTAGTGGTTGGAAATTATTAACTTTATCAACAGAATTGGTAAGTATTCAAGCACTGGTTGTCAAAATTTTCAAACACTTTTAGGAACACTACTGATAGCCTAAATATTTAATATTTTCAGTCTAAAAAACAAAGACATTTATTAATCTAAAGTTTTCCTAGTATATTTGTACAAACAATTTATCCTCCTTAGCATTTATTTATGCAAATACAATTTAGAGGTCTTCGGAAAAAAGTTCTACTGGTGCCAACTTATATACAAGATCTTACAACTTTAATTGCTCTGATTTGTTATTCAGGACTATAAATACAAAATCAGTCAAACTTTAACCTATTTCTAATTGCCTGTCTCGTGCTTAGAACAAACTCTGACCAAGCATTGAAGCAGTATCTCATTGTAAAAGTATTATCTATATAAAAAGCTGTGAGTGTAAAAATAAGATCACAATTCTAATCTTAAATGACAAATTTTCATCAAAAGCCTAATTTTGGCTGTTTTACAGCTAACAGAGATAGAAATAAATCTAAATAAAAGTTAATATTACAAATACTAGAAAGATGGGATACCTAAGAGAAAAATAAGAAACCTAATTTGAAAAATTAGTTCTAAATCTTAGAAAAAAGTTCAGTACTTAGTTCATAAAACTTACCAAATCATATTTGACTTGCTGACCAGTAGAAGTTAGGAGATGCCATACAGCTCGTACAAAGTCAGGAACATGCTTAGTAAATTCCTCTCCATATTTTTGTACATACAGGGCAACATTTTCACATATTTGAGACTTCAGTTGTTCCAAAAGACCAGCTTCTTCATCTTCCTTGAAAACAAAACAAATACTTTGATAAATATTCATTTTTTTTTAAATTACAAAAAAAAAAGACAAAAACAACTGAGTTTTTCCGTTTCCAACCAGGAAATATAAGTATTAACCCTTTCGATACGGGTCACAGGTGAAAGGCCATGTCATCTTGTTTGTTGACTCACATTCAAAATTTTATTGAACTACTATTTATGTCAATAAGTTTGGTATCAAACTGTATATTATAGTTCAACTTTTAGAACTATACATTACTCAATTTGTTAATTTAAAAGTAAATATTAAAAAACAAACAGATAAACATCAATTTTTGTGTGTCACATGGTATGTTGAATGCAGCACTGGTTCAAATTAGATGTTTGTGAAGTCAAAATACTAAGTCTATGGTTTCATATGAATTAGAAATTCAAATTACCAATATTGACAAGCTAGAATATAAAATAAGGTCTTATCTTTTCTATTTGCTAAGATATTTCTCATGTAATAAATCAAACACAGTGGCACCCCACCCACATCTTTCCATTTTTGGAAACATTCCCTTGTATTTACTTACTTCTATATATGACACGAACAACCAATCGGAAGCTTAGAATGTCCCCCTAGTGGCTTTCTCAGCCATTTAAACAGGCTTGGCACCATTTTCTTCTTTTGAACCAATATTTCAATGAGATAGGGTGTGTCTTTAGTCTGCTCAAATTTCCATATTTTTTAGATTAAAATACATATTAGTTATTAAGCTTGATAAATTATAGTGAAATTCTATGGTATTAATGTAGTAATTTATGATTTTTTTAGTTATTCAAAAGTATATGTAAAACCTAAAAAATATATTTTATTTCATGTCCTCCATGTGCAGATTTTTTAAAGGCTTAGGGACCTACGTCAAGCAGCAACCGAGTAAAAAGGTTGTAACTAGAAGAGATAATTGAAGAACTTTAAGAGCTTATTTCAAAATAAGTAATAATCTTTATATATATATAATAGTATAATAATTAGTAAGAAGTGTACTAGTATTTTACTTAAAATAAAACTACGTTACGGTACCGTAAACTAA